TGGACCATAAGAAATTATGAATAACATAAGGGTGAATGAGATTTCCAAGACACTTAATTGCGCTCTTGCAGAATCTGCTCATAGACCAACAGGTAACTGGTTAAACAGACCAAGAGAATATTGCATGGTTTAAAATCAGGAAAGGTGTGAGTCAAAGTGGGATCCTTTTCTGATATTATTTATACTGTTTACTGAGCAAATAATCTGAGAAACTGGACTATATGTAAAAGCATGTGGCATCAGGAATAGAGGAAGATTCACTAACAACCTGAAGTATGTCGTTGTTGTTGTTAAGTACCATCGAATTGGTTCAAACTCATAGTGACCCTGTATAAGGTTTCAGGAGCATCTGGTGAGTTTGAACCGCCGACCTTGGGTTCAAACTGATCTTATTGTTCAGTGCTTATTCTGCAACACCACAACAAGACTGTAATATGTAGAGGGAACAATTTTGCTTGCTAGAAGTAAAGAGGACTTGAGGCACTTGCTGATGAAGATCAAAGACAGCAGCCTACAATATGAATTACACCTCAACATAAAAATGATAAAATCTTCACAACTGGATCAATAGACAACATCATGATAAATGGAGAGACAATGGACATTGTCAAGAATTGTATTTAATTTGGATGAACAATCAACACCCATGTAAGCTGCAGTCAAGTAATCCAACAACGCATTGCATTGAACAAGCCTGATGCAAAAAAACTCACAACCTCTTTCATGTGTTAAAAAACAATGATCTCACTTTGAGGACTAAGGTGCACCAAACCCAAGCCATGCTGTTTTCAAATGCCTCGTATTTATAGAAAAGCTGGACAATGAATAAGGAAGACCAAAAAAGTTTTTGAATCATTGAATTGGTGAAGAATTATAAATACACCACAAACTGCCAGAAGAATAAAAAAAAAATCTTCTTTGGAAGAAGTACAGCCAAAATTTATTGTAGAAGTAAGAATAGTGAGACTTTGTTTCATGTGCTTTGGATACATTATCATGCGGCACTAGTCCCTAGAATTGGACATCATGTGTAGTATTATAGAGGGTCAGCCAAAAAAGAAGACCCTCATTGAGATGGATTGACTCAGTGGCTGCAACAGTGGATTCAAATATAGTAACAATGGTGAGTATGGAACAAGAATGGGCAGTGTTTCAGTCTGTCGTATATAGGGTAGCTATGAGTCAGAACCCACTCAACTGCAACTAACAAAACAACAATATCTTTCATGAACATAGATGCAAAATTTCTCAACAAAATATTACCAATGTATAAAAAGAATTAAATACCATAACCCTGTGAGATTTACTCCAAATATGCATAGCTGATTCAACATTCAAAAATCAGTAATGTAAATAAATCATCCTATCAACAAACTGAAGAAGAAATATAATATAGTCATTTACATGCAGAAAGAGAATTTGGCAAAATTCTATTTATGATAAAAGTTATCAACAAACTAGGAATAGAGGGAAAATTCTTCAGCTTGATAAAGAACATCTACAAAAAATCTACTGATAGCATTATAGTTAAAAGTGAGAAAATACATGCTTTCCCCTTATGGTCATAAATAAGGCAAGGATACCCCTTTTCAGCATACATTTTAAACATGGTACACTGTAATGCAACCATCACCTTATTGTTTTCCAAACAAGTTTTTTTTCAAATAAATTACATTTAAGAAATTCAAAGGACTAAATAATGGTAAGAGTAGTTCTTTTGTTTTATGGCATACATATCATCATCAGTACTTCCACAATATACTTTCTAAAGATTCAGAAACATTACTGGGTTCTCATTCATCAATATATATTTGTTAATTGTTGTTCCATCCAGCCTATCTATAAGAAATTCCTCCAGATTTAGTTAATATTGCTCTGTTTCCCCAGGCACCTCTGTGTGTACCTTTGTTTTACCATTAGCTCATTGTGTTCTCTTTGATCCCATGAGATTGAGTAAAATCTCTCGATCTTTGATTTCCCCTTTATGTGTTAACTTCAATCAGAAACCTTACCTGTTTTAATAGTAAATGCCCTGCCTTTTTGTAGTATTTCAAAGAATATCCAAAAGCCAAATTATTTTTTTCTCTTCTCTTGAAAGCCATGATTGCAAATTATGCTTGAAGGCTGAGATAAGGATTAAAATGGTAGATGAGTTTCTAGGTCTGGGTCAAAATAATACATCATGGAATGAGATAAAATTATTCAGCAATATGGCCAAGCATTCTCTTTAAATGGTCCACTCCTAAAGTATATATCTGTGTCATTGATTGAAAATTATCTTACCTAAAACTTTACCATTCTCTTGGAGAACAGTTTATCTTTGGTCTGGCCATTGGCTTACCTATTTTCTTAGCACCCTTGGCTGTTAACTTTGCATTGTAATGTTAATTCAAGCCCATTAGTTCACAAGTTTCCAAACTCAACCTGTGAAAACCCTTTAGGGGATCATCTAAAGAGAAGATTATCTCTTCAAGGAAATATGAAGCCTCAGCAGAGAGACATTGGTTTTAAGTCCTAAATCATGGCACATCAAAGAATTTTAGTTAGCATAGCCATTTCATGATTTATCAATTTCTTAGAATTTACCTGTATGCTGTGATGCTGTAGGGTTAAGCATTGGACTGCTCACTTCATGGTGAGTGCTTCAAAACTTTCAGCTACTCCATGGAAATCACATATAGGATTGCTATGAGTTGGAACAGACTCGATGGCCCTTAACAACACCACCTACAATTACTCCATAAGGAGCATGGTGATTCTTTAGGATAATCACTGGACTGTGAACCAAAAGGTAAGTGGTACAAATCCATAAGCTACTTCATGGAAAGAAGTTGACACTTTCTGAGATAAACAGACTTGGAAACCCTATACAGGGTAGCTATGAGTCAGAACCGACTCATGACACTTAAAAACGACAATTATCCCATTAAATGGTTGTTGGAAGGCAGTGGTTGAAAGTGTATTGAATTTGGAATCAGACAGTATGAATTACAATTTTGATTCTGTAATTATTAAATTTGAGTTCTGGTGTGACACTGTAAGTTAATGTGCTGGACTACACAGTTGTTTTAAACTTCAAAGTTGGCGGTTCAAGTTCACGGGCTGCTCCTCAGAAACCCTATGTAGGGTCCCTATGGGTTGGAACTGACTCAACGGTACTTAAAAACAGCAACAATTACTAAATTATGTTAACAAAGAGAATTGCTTGATGTTTATGAGTCTCTGTTTCTTATCTGTACAATGGAAATGATATTCTCTCAAAATGTGCTGTACGGACTTGAAAAAAAAAATGCATTGACGTTTTTAGCACAATATCTATCACAGGGTAGGCATGTAATTAATGGTGATTCTCTTAACTTCCTTTTCAACCTTCCTACACCACGGGATCCTACACCTAAGGTCTAAATTGCACCTTGGTCTTTAGGAAACCAGACTTTTCTGGAGTTTAGAAGATCATGTTGTTGTTAAGTGCCGTCGAGTCAGTTACGCCTTATAGCGACCCTGTATAGTGTTTCCAAGGAGCGGTTGGTGAGCTACTATAACAGCCGACCTTGTGGATCAAAATGCCCTTGAAACCCAGTGCATTAACCCGCCGTTCCACACCAGGATACACCAGGACATATATTAGAGAATAGGTAACCCATACTCTGAATGCCGACAAAGCAGAATTTCCTCAAAATAACAAAGAGCATTCTTATTCTAAGAGTCTTAAACTGAAGGAAACATACTTTTATTTGGTCAACCTTCAAGTAGGTGGCCTGAGAGGCCAAACTATGACCATTGTGATTATGTTCTTGTGTATTAAAACTTCCTTATGTATTCTTTCTGGATGCCACCCACTAAAGGTTCTTGTTTTTGACTGCCTTGGAGTAATTTCCCACTCACAACAATCCTGTATGGAGTTTCCAAGAAGCAGCTGGTGGCTTTTGAACCACCAACCTTGTAATTAGTACTTCAGTGCTCACCCTACAGCGCCACACCAGGACTCCTCTAAGTGTTCTTAATTACAACTATATATTCTTAAGCTTTGGCTTCTGTCTCCTGGTTCCAGCCTTTCTATAAGAAAAAAGACAGAAAAGCAAAGCAAAGTTGGGGAAATCATCCTACAGACAAATGTAGCCAAACTTTCTGGAAAATAATCATTAAAGTTATCAATTATTGTATACTATATCAATTATATGTAGACACTCATTTCCTTAATTCCCATCAGTTTGCAACCAGTAGGTACTGGGACCTGAAACAACTCTTGGACTTTCTTAATTTCTCTGTAAAAGTAAAGTTTAGGTTAAACAATTTCTTAAATTGCATGTGATCTCTTTGACCTTATTTCTGCTTTTATATTTCATGTTGAGCTTTTCCCAGCTACTGGGTCGTATGGCCCTCTCTCTTCCCAATTTGTTTGTACATCACAATAATCAGATGATTTAAAAATCTAACCATGTCCTATTCTGACATTCAGATGTGGCAAAAGAGAAATCAAAAGTTTCTCTGCCCTTTCCATTCATTTTTCTTGCCTAAAAATGAAAATTTCCATTGAGAAGACAGATTGTGGAGGCTATTGGAGGCTCAGGAAGATTTAGAACTTTCTGGAAATATGAGTATATACTACTCCAAAGGTCAGAAGAGGTGTAAGAATCTACTGAAGGCTACAGGAAAGCAAGAACTAAATAAACACTTTTTCTGAGACATCTTCCCACAGAGAACTCTGCTTTTGTGAGCTCAGAACTTCTTCTCCTTGTTGTGTTCTACACACAGAACTTGGGTATCTGTTCCCCAGCTGGCAGTTCCCTCTCTCTGGAACGAAGGATGAAAGTCAGAAAACAGCTTTAAGATTCTTAGGAAAATGAGATTGCCTAGAAGTGGGATGGAAATGGAGGGAAAGGTGGACTCAGACTATCTAGTAGAATGCTATCATTCCTGGATTTGTGAAGGAAAAAGAACTAGTTGAATCAGTTGCCAAGACAACCTACTGTTGGGGTTCAGGGATTTAGGGCAAGGAGATGGGTGACCTGTGGTTACTCTTTCTCCTGCCCCTATCCCTAGTAGCCTTCCATGGGGTTAAAGGCTGTCTGGACTGTGACCCCAAATTCATAGAGGATATTAAGATCTTAATAGAAAAGCTGATACCCCCTGAAGTCCCTGGTCGCAATTATCTGATTCAACGTCAGATTAAGGAGACCATCCATATAAGCACCAAGGTCTCCTACAGGGACAAGATGCTTCGGGTGTTGGGTGAGGGATCCTTGAGTCCCTGAGTGTTTGGGAGGTTAAAGGGAGAAGGGAGGCAAGGGAAGAGAGGACCTGGGTCCACACAATTTTCTCCACAGATGTAATTATTCCCTCACATGTTATTTTCCTCTTCTTTAGATGTCCAAAATGTTGTCAGCTTGCGATCGTGGCTAAAACAGGAATATGAGAAACTAGGTGATGGAAAATGGAAAGGTGAAGTACTATTTCAGTGTTAGAAATTGTATTGCCCAAGCAAGTATATGGAAAGTGGATGGGAGAAGTTAAGTAAAGTAAAGCAGAGAAACTAGGACTAAATTCTGGAGGGAAAGGCCACCCCTGTTTACTGATGTTCCTTTCACCACTTCTTAGGTGTCTTTATCCTCCAAGGCAAGCTTCTTGAAGTCCGGCAAAACCTGGAATCCAAATTGAAAGAAACATTAAAGACCTTCTCTGAAGTTGGTAATGAAAGAGGCCTGAAAGATACCCACTGGAGGGGATAGAAAATTAGGGGTGAGAGGAGGAATGTAATTGTACATTATTTTGATTTAGAGTGGCTGTGGAGTTTCTGGAAAGATACCCACTGGAGGGGATAGAAAATTAGGGGTGAGAGGAGGAATGTAATTGTACATTATTTTGATTTAGAGTGGCTGTGGGGTTTCTGGAACTTAAAGGATAACAAAATAAGGACTATATTGGTATAAATATTGTGATATCTAAGTTGATGGAAGCTCATTAGAACTTTCTGATTTTCTTCTAGCATGCTCTGAAGATTGCAGTGAGTACAGTACATGTGTCATCCTGAGGTTTCAACCCATATTTTCTCCCACCCCTTTTTAGAGAGACCTTATTTCTTGTACATGTTATACTGAGAACCTAATTCCTAGGGTTGTGGTTATAAGGTGAACTGCCAATATCTGACAATGAAATTGGGTTTATGAAATCTTGGACAGCCAAGAGACTGTGGAGTCATTCAGAAACCTCTAAAAGTATAGTCTACAAATTCTCACCCCAATAAAAGCTAAGACATGATATTCCCCTTATCGTCCCCAGACTTTAATGACACAAGCTTTTGAACCATCAAGAATCTTAATTACTAGAGGAAGGAGAAATTAACAATGAGAATTTAAGAGTTCTGGGAATGCCTAAGATTTAATGTTTGAGCTAAGGAACCTCAATGGCATGACACCCTTCTGATGATCTTCCCTTTCTTCTCAGTTGTGACTGAAGGTCCTGTTCTTGATTGTTGGACCTGTCTTCGTATCACCACCCATTGCTTCAGAGGGGAGTACTGTGGAGGTAATAAAGACTGTGGTATGGCAGTTTTAAGGGTCAGGGTCAAGGAAATGGGTTGTTCATTGATATACACAAAAAATGTTTGTTGAGCACTTTCTATGTATCAGCAATTGCAGGTCATTCTAATGTAATTTTTATTTTGTTTTATTCTTTTTAAAAAAGTAAAATATTGGACAAAATTTGTAATAGTATGAATAACTTGATAGTGGACTAGTTGAATGCTGAGAAATAAGAAATCTAGAGACTGGGACATTGCTGCTGTGAGGTGCCAACGACTCAGTGCTGACTCACAGCAAGCCTGTATAGAGTCTCTAAGGCTAGAAATCTTTGTAAGAAAAGGAAGTCTCATGTTTCTCCTGCAGAGTGGCTGGTGGGCTGGGTTCATTGACCAGTGCTTATCTTATGGAGTCAATGTGCTCCCCAGAGGCTGGGATAGTGGTGGAGAAATTAGACTAGAGACAACAAAATAAAAGTTTTGTACAGCCTAGAGAACTTAGAATAATGAAGTTCAGAATATTCGGGGAAGAATAATAAAAATAATGAATTGGGCAAACTGATGATAAAAGAGTCCTCCATTCTAGGCAGAGGTACAAGGTTATTATTTCTCTTCTCCAGAACTCTTCCTTTTTAACCCTTTTTCTTTCCAAAAGAGGATTCAAAGAAGGCTGAGAGTCGAGAGATTGCACTGTTTCTGATATTGCTGGCAGAAGCTGTAGTATTTGGAAGCACTTTGTTACTGTGAGTTCTCTGTCCTCCACACAAACACTGTAAAGAATACCATTGACAAAAAGACTGTCCAACAACCCCCACACCTCTAGATAGAAATAAGGGGCAAGAAGTCCATGTAAAATCTGCCTATGGTAGAGTAAAAAATGAAAAAAGTTGAGGTTTGATGGGATAACCATTAGAAAATAAGGAGGAGGAATGATGAAACACAAGGAAAACTTTTTAGAAGTATCTACAAATGACACACAAAACAATTGTGCAATTGTATTAAATAGTTGGGATTCTAATCTAGTTAAGTGAAGTTGGAATTATCTTCTCTACTCTAGATTCCATTTTTGTGTGTCTCATCGGAGAAAGATGAAGGCAATACGAAGGTTACTAAAGAATTATTTGGAGAAGAAACTTGAAGAATTGATAAGAATGGCGGAGGAGAAAAAAAAGAAAGAATCTGGAACCAGAAGATAAATACATAGACACAGACAGGTCTTTCATGAATCTCTTCAGTGTTTGCTCCAAGTGGAAAACTGGGAAGCAAGCTGATTTGTGGTCATAAACCTGGAGTATTCTAGAACTGAAATAGAACAAAGTTAATCTTAGTGAGGACCCTCATTGATACAAGAGATGGTGGATGCAATGAGAGAGTATATACTCACTTACTGATAGTTTTATTTATAACAGAAAGTGCTACAGAACTGGAATTTTTGACATGATAAAGCTAAATGTCATTTGAACTTAACAAATGTGAAAAAATGTTTATAAAAATATTTTATATACAAGTAATTACCAGTCATCTGCAATTGCTATCCCCTCAAAGGCAAATATTTGTACAGATCTTTTTAAGTTTTGTTAGTCTGATAAATACAATAATATATCAGCTAGTAATTCTGAGTAACTTTTCACATGGTTCAGTACCATCTGAATTTACTCTAAATTAAATCATATTTGTATATTTTGCTGATTTTTGAGTTGTCTCTTTTTTTCAATTATAAGAAGTCTTTCATAATGTAGGCATTAATTCCATTATTTATCTTTTTCCAAATCTATCACTTGTCCATTGACTATTCAAGGTGTTTTTTTAGCTTCCTACCTACCTATTTCCACTGCTACAATATAGGGAACACAAAATGAGTCGCAGGTAGATACCGAATCTTAGATAAAAATAATATGTGTTAAAATACTTGGGTGTATGTGTCTGTACAGAAATAGATACAGAAATAAGCACACATGACTACGTCTTGGGGACACAATGGTTAAGTGGTGGGCTGATAACTGAAAGACTCGTGGTTCAAATCCACAAGATGCTCTATGGGAGAAAGATGTGGCAATCTGCTTCTGTAAAGGTTACAGCCTTGGAAACACTATGGAACAATTCTACCCTGTCCTATGTTGTTGTTGTTAAGTGCTGTTGAGTAGGTTCCAACCCATTGTGACCCTGTCCTATAGGTTCACCATAAGTCAGAATTGACTCATTGGCACACAACACGTACACATGTACACCTCACCTGCTTGATAACTTTTTACTTGTTATCAGTAAGTATTTGAGTTTGACTGTTAAGGAAAGGAAATCATTATATAACATCTATCTTTACTGAGAGAGAAAAGATGGTATAAAATTCTTTTGAACCAAGAGAAAGAAAGAAATAAAGTTAAAAGAGGCAGCAAAATGCAGTACATGACAAACAGAAATACAATAACCAAGATAGCTGTAAGTGAAATAAATGCATTCATCAGAAGATTAGCTATTAAAATGGATGATTTTAAATCAAGTCATAAGCTATTTATAAGAGTCAAACCTAAAAATAACATGACTAGCTCAATGTGAAAATAAAAGAATTGAGTATTTAACAACCCACCCATAAGAGAATAAGAATCACACTATTAATATCACCTATAGCATAGTGGTTACAAATTGGGCTGCGAACCTTAAGGTCAGCAGTTTGAAACTACCAGCCGCTCCGCAGGAGGAAGATGAGGCTTTCTGCTCCCTTAAATATTTACAGCCTTGGAAACCCTGTACAGAGTTGCTATGGGTCGGAACCGACTCTACAGCACATAACAACAGCATAAGATAATTTGGAGTCCTTGTACAGTGCTGTGAGTTAATGCGTCAGACTGCAAAGCCATTTGAACTGGTCGGCAGTTCAAGCTCACTAGCTGCTCTTCAGAAACTCTATACAGGGTTGCTATGGGTTGGAACCAACTCAACAGCACTTAACAACAATAACAACATAAGATAATTTGGATTCCTGGAGTGGTGTTGTAGGATAAACACTGAACTGTAAGGTCCATTTGAGTTGTAAGGACGGCAGTTCAAACTCACCAGCCACTCCTCAGAAACATTATACAGGGTCTCTGTGAGTCGGAACCAACTTCACAGCACTTAACAACAACAACAATAAGATAATATAAGCCAAAATATATTTACATGAATAAGGAAGAATACTATATAATTGTAAAAGTAATATTTAGAGGAAAATGTGTAACAATGGAATTATAGTGCTGTATGTAGCCTTCAAATAAAAGCCAAAATACTGACACAATTTCCACCATCATCATTGGAAAGTTTAATACACTGCTGTTAGCATCTGATCAACCTAATGAAGAACTATTAATAAGGTTACAGGTAAGAAAACACAATGAACAACCTAAAATGACATGATGTAATGAACCTTATACCCAACTAATAAGACACAAATGTTTCTTCTTTCTTGTACAAATACAGCATTTCTAAAAATTGGCATAGTGTTTGGCTTGTCAGACACTAATGAGCTTTTCTCCTAACTCAATTTCCTTTTCTCTTGGGCACATCACTAATCAACCTTTCTCCTTCTCCCTTACTGTAAGTTCGACTCTGTAACTGAATTCTGGCCAGTGGAATGTGGGTTTAAGTTATGTGGCTGTTTCCAGGTCTTACCTACATAAACTTAAGGGGAAATCGTGTAGTCTCCTTCTTCCCTATAAAACAGTAGAACGTCAGTATATATCTGAAGCATCTATTTCAGGTTTCATGTGAACAAAAATTAAACTTTTAATTTGTTAAAATTTGGAGATAGCCTGATTTTATTAAAATGTTTACTTTATCAAATGCATTGGCAAAAAAAAAAAAAAAAATCCTTTCAACAAATTCAGAGTAATCAATATTATGAAGAACAAACAATCAGACCATGATCAATAAAATTAGAAAATAGCAATAAAGGATAAATGAAATATACTTGGAAACTAAAATTCATGTTTCTAAATAATTCATAAATTAACTATGAAATTATAAAGCAAATAATAAAATATTTAGGACTAAACAACAATGAAAATATTAACCTATCACATCTTCTAAATGTGGCTAATATATGCATTTAAGGCTCTGACTTTATAATTATATCATATATCATAACATTTAAATAAAATACTGAACAGGGTATTCAAACTAAGCAGCTAGGAAAAGACCAACATTAATTTTAAAAAATATACAAAGACGAAAATATAAGATTACAACCCAAATCAAAAAGTGTAAAATAAAACCAACACAAAAAGCAAACTTAAAACTCTGCATCCTTAGAGAGGTGAGGCTTCACTTAGCTTTTACTGGGTAACAATTTAATAATTCATTTTATCTAGAAATAACATTAAGAGGTATCAACCAGTTTATTAAGATACTAAACATAAGTAAAACCAACAATAGAAGTTGGTTAACAGGGAAAAACATGAGCTCTGATAGTATAGTGGATAAGAGTCGGGCTGCTAACCCTAAGGTCAGCAGTTCAAAACTACCAGCCATTCCATGGGAGAAAGATGAGGCTTTCTGCTCCCATAAAGATTTATAGCCTTGGAAACCCTGTGCAGGGTGGCTTTGAGTCGGAATAGAATCCACAGCACACCACCACCACCAAGAAGTAACAACAGCTGATTAACACCGGAAGCTTCTAAATTTCCAAAATATTAATTCTAACCTTACTCCTAATATTCTGACTCAAAGACAGGTATGTCTTCTTCTGTCCTCACTGTGGTTTCTTCTTCTGTGTTTTCTATATCCAGAGCTGCAGCCTCTTCTAGAATGTTCTTCATCAATCATTTATGTCCATCTTCTTGAATACAATACTAGGTTGTTCAGGTCAGTGTCTGTAACTATAAAGACTCTTGCCTTCATCTTAAAAAAGAGACCTGGTGATAGAGCAGTTGGAGTGCTTAGCTGCTAATTGAAAGGCTGCAGATTTGGACCCACCAACTGCTCCATGGGAGAAAGATGTGTCCATCTGCTCCCATAAAGTTTTACAACTTTGGAAATCCTATGAGGCAATTCTACTCTGCCTTGTAGGGTCCCTATGCAACTTGGCAGCAATTGGTTTGGTTTGGTTTGGATTTTCTTCATCTTGTTGTTGTTTGTTAATTATGCCAATGAGTTGGTTTTGATTCATAGCAATCCTGTATAGGCTTTCTGAGGAGAAGCTGGTGGGTTTGAACCACCAACCTTGTGGTTGGCCATCTAGTGCCTATGCTACAGTGCCACACCAGAAATCCATATCTTACGTCCACTTCTAATTACTATGCCAGCCCTCTATGTCAAACATCTTAAAAATGACTGTTCCTTCATTTCTGTTCTCCATTCAACTAACAACTACTGGCGTTCTGTTCCTCACCCCATATGGATGTTGCTGTCAGCTTATCAGTTATCTCTTGTTGAATTCAGAGTTTTCTTTAGACTCCAAGTTACTTGTCAGTCCTAAAACATGACTTTTCAGTGTGCAAATGCTTTTCTTCTTAAACTGTCTACTCCCTCAGTTTACTAGAAAGATGTTGTTTTTATTATCATAAATTACAATTTATTTGTTTGTTTTTTTTTTATTTTCCTCTTCCTCTTCTCTGCCTACCCAGAGAAGAAGTTTGACTTCCTTCAAACTTCTTCTCATTTTATACATTTATACATTCTCCCTGGGGGAATCTCATCACCTCATGTGAGTTTAAACTACAACCTAATAAATAAAAACAAGTCTAAATTCATATCCTCCTCCCCAATCCTCAACTTCTACTTCTAGGTGTCTATGGGCATCTCCATCTGGGTATCTGTTCACATTACAAACTCTGCAGATCTAAAACTGAACTGTTAAACTGAAACCACATCTTATCCTGTACAATTTGTCTGGATCCAGGGTGTCCTTCAATTGTCATGAAAAAAAAAAAAATGTGTTGAAGGAAGATTATGGACAAGGCATTTAGAGAAACAAATCAAAAATCATCTCTCCAATAATTCTACAAAAGCCATTTTTGTAAATGTGAGAAAACTGAGGCTCAGTGAATTTAAGTAACAGAATCTTCAAAGTTCCATAGGCAGTAAGCGATGGAGGCAGGATTTAAACCCTAAATCTTAAACCTTTCTTTTGGTTAACACTGGCTCCACAGATAGCAAAATTATTCAAAAGGCAGAAATCGCAATGTATTCTGGAGTTCTCTGTCTCCTTCATCTATCTTAGCCA